GGGAATTAAGAAAAAGACAAAGTATAGAAATAATGAAAAAATAGCCATTTCAAAAGAGTTTTTGTTTGGATAATTTTGAATTATTCAGACCTCAAAAAAAAAAAAAAGGTAGAAGAGAACAGGATACTTGGATTCAAGGAGAAAGAGCTTTGTTTTCCTTTTCTTAGTATCAGTGTGAAAAGGGTAAGTAGATAGGCATATGAATGTGTAAAGTTGGATACAGTTAAAATGATGGAAGAACTGCTAGTTCATACATAATAAAAGTGGTTTGTCAACATTTATTCTGTATCTGTAGGCCAACATACAGATGGACATCATAATGTGAGTCTCCTAGGAAAGTAAGAGTCAAGGGACGGTGTTTCCGTGGAAATGTACTAACCTTGCACAGCTGAAGAAAACCCAAATCTGCATTGAAACAGGACATTCTTTGCACGCTTAAGAAATTACAGGCCTCATTTTTGTGGGTTGAAATGTTTGGATAGCTTGATAAGGAGATTATATAATTCCCTTATAGGGATATTTACTTAGTATTGTTTTTATTGTGTAGCTGTAACAGACCACAAATGTAACTTTGAAAATAGGAAACACAGCAACAGCTGTCTCCCTGGATGGTCAGCGTTTTGAGACCAAGGCATTACAGACATCTTCAGTCAGCTCTGGTGTCATTTTCACTTATGCTTTCTAGATTGTACAGAGCTGTAACTCAGTCTGAAGGTTCCCTGTGATGGAGGTCAGCCTGCGGCCACTGAAACTGCACGTCCTTGTTCAGATCTTTTACTTAGCCAAAACTTAGGTATTTTTATTTAAAAAAAGGGGAAGTCCAAATAAATATCAAACTTCAATTCACTTATATAACTTAAAATTCTATATCTTCATAGTTGTGGTTTATCACATAAAATTATCTTATATGATCCTTTTTAATGTATGATTATTATATGCAAATATTTTCACATTCTGGAGTTATCCAAATATTTATGATTTTGAAAAAAGTAGGTGTGTTATTTAATAAACTGTAATGGCCAGTGCAATTTCAGATTAAAAAAAATACCTTCAGCTACAAACCCACAACCCTATATGCCTTGTTATTTTCAAAAACCCATTTGGAATATCCATACCCTCTGTATTACCCTTTTCCCAGAAGAATAAAACTTCAAATATGTCTTATTTTATGAATTTAAAGTGTATATAAGACATCCAAGAGTTTCGAAAGTTAAGTAAAAAATATTTAAAGTTAACTTCATGATACATGGAAAAACTGTTTGAAACGTTATCGTGTTGGGATATCTCTGCCGACCCCCAGCTCTCCTTTATGTTCTGCCCAGGACCCGGTGTCCCTAATGCAAGCTGTACATCCCTGCCCTGGGACAACCCTGAAGGTCACAAAAGAGTAATTCCCCATGAGAACTCTTGCAGTGTTTGCTGCAGGTTGTATAAAGAATATAAAATTGGGTGGAACTATGTAAATATCCTGTGGACAGTTTTATATTGTCTTCCTATTTATATTTCACATTTCTCAAAGCATCTTTAATATTCTGTTCTAGTCATGGGACTTGATTTAAGGTAAAACCCTGAATTTCACAATGAGTCTTGAAGTAAACCTTAAGATGCATTTCTGTAAGTCTAGACTGTTTATGTGTAAGACACTTAGCTTTGGCCATATTGCCATGTTTTTGACTCAGGATTACTTTTCTCCCCTAAAGAAACTGTTCTGTAAGGTTTAGTATAAATACCACAAAAATCAAGTTTTGGAAAATGTGAGGCTCTTAGCCTTAAGATTAAATCTTGCATTTAAAAATTAATATATCTGAATGAAAAACAGTTAGGTTTAGTTTAGGATATATGCTTGAAATGTTTAATTATTGCTAATTATAAAATAGCTTGGGTAGCCTCATGTGTGCATTTAAAACTTGATTAGAATATAAGAAAAATAAATCAAAATGCTGAAAGCAAAATACTTTAATAAGTTAAATAAATTTCTAAATTTACTCCTCTTCCTGCTTTTACCCTTAAGTGTTTAAAATGCCATATACAAAAGCCAACATTGATTATTTCACTTCCGTGCACAAGCGTATGTAGTTGGATATGTCCTCAAAAGATACAGCAAAATATACAATCCAGATCTATTAACCACTTTCTTTGCTCTCTTGAAAATATTGACCTGCCTGAACATCTCAAGAATGTGAAAGTTTCCATAACCAGAAGCACGTATTCTAAGTGAATACACTGGCTCTATAACTTCACCCCTGCAATTGTAGGGTAAGCCTTTTATTGGCTAGCCAATAAAACTGATTAATCTGCATGTATCATGGCACCTGGAAATATTGAAGTTTCAGTTTCAATATTCTGTTTATCAAAAGATGAGAAACAATTATCTTAATAAATTTGGAAAATCAATATATCAGAAATATTTTAAACTGTGTTTTACCCAGACCAGAATGGCAGTTTCTTAACTTGAGATACTTGATCCTCCAGAATATATTCCATTTCTCTTTGTTATCCCCTCTTTCCAAACCCAACCCCCTTAAAGAGCCCCAAACTATAAAGCTATTGTTTATAGATGAGAAACGTCAGATTAATTTATTCTTTGACAAACATCAGACTGAAGTTAAATTGTTTTGTCATATTGGTTTTTGATATTGATTTTGGGGAAGCAGCGAAGACGTGCACAGTGAATGTGGAGGGCAGTGATTTGCTGACAGCAGTTAGGAAAAGAGAACTATAGAAAGCACAGGAACGTTTTCAGAAATGGGTTTTATTGTATTTCATAGGCACCACTCACTTTACTTTGGGTGGGTTTTAAAATGCGAATCAAAATTAAAATATTACAGACGAGTTTTAATAAGCCAACAGATTAAAACCCCAGGCCCCCAAGCCTTTCATTGTGGTTGTAGCTCTTGGTGTAGATGCTATGGTGTGAGGGCTGCTCTTTCAATGGCTGGTTGTCATTCAGGCTGGGTTGTCATGTGACTGCCTGTCTGTGCCTGCTGTACAGGTGAGCGGATGTTCTGCACAGCAAGTGTAGACAGGCAGACACATGACAACTCTGTCCAGCCAGGCCCTTGGGTCCTTCAGGTTTCCTTTGCTCATGGACAGATACAATCAGCCTGTTTTCCAGGTTTGGTGATTTTGGAGGGTAAGGGGAAAGGAGAAAAACACACAATAGAATTAAACATTAAAACATTATGGAACTAAAAACAAGTTAGACTTTTGACTTTATTCAGAAAGTATACTTTATACATTTGATCCAAACGTGCTAACATGGATAGTTGGCAAAACAGAAAACTCATATGATTTTAAGGGTATGAAAAAATGCTCCAATGTATGTTTTTGTGTTTTTTTATTTTTTTAAATCCAATTCCTATTATCACTGGTCCTCATGCAGTCAGAGCTCAGAGTAATCGGACCAGATGATTTTCTTCTTCACAAAAACCCTGCATATCTTAACAATGAAATTAAAGATAATGAATCTATTTATACATGTTTCTTATAGTAAATACGTCACACAGCCTTGCCCATGAAGAAAAAAAATTGACATTTACATGTTAACAGCAGCCATTTTCAAAATTGTTAATGAGCCTAATGTATTTGCAAACTCAGCCAACAGACTTTGGTATCTGATGTGTTGATAATGGGATTTTTATAAGGGAATATATTTTATTGTATCAAACAACAGGAATTTATTTAAAATTTTTCATTTTCCTTTTAAGTGCAAAATTTTAGCATATACATGTGAAAATCAAATAAAAGGCAATTTGCGTTAATTAATACCATGAATCAAAGGTATGAACTAGATAGTTGTTAACCATGGTAGTGTTCAGAAGTTCAGAATGTGTTTTTAAAATTGCTAATACAATTTAGCTACAGACACAGAAAAATTCACCTCATGTCCAAACTGGAAACCAGATCCTAGTTTGTATAAGAAAGAATCAATAGTGTAAAATATACAAATGTAAAATGTAACCCTGGAGAGGCAAGAATAATTCAGGCTATTTTAATATAAATCAACAATTTCATCTGTAGAGGCATTTAACAATTTCAGTCTCCTTTTAAAAACAACATATCCAAAGAGTCAACATTTTAAAAAGTGGCATTCCTTTAAAAATAAAAAAATATACATTATTGTCCAATGAATATATATTAGAGATATTTTCAAAGAACTTTAAAGAAACCAAATACTTTATTATTTCCCTTTAATTGTAAAATTATAAAAAAAGCAAAGCAAATAGAAGTTTTATGGAGAACAGAATACTTTTTAGAGAATAAAAAGTGACCGTTTTCTGAAAATCTTAATTTTCACCCAGTGCCTAGATATGGTATGATTTTTAACAGGCCAATAAATACAATTTTATCTGTAACTATTTAATTTCAAGAAATTTTATGTGTGCTTCTGCCCACTTCAGAGAAAACTTATTTTTCTTCCTTGATAGAATCAAAACTTGGCTACTATTTAAACAATTACAAAGTGTGCACAAAGCAAGTACCTTTAAATGCTGTTTGGTTATTGTTGTTTCATTTAGTGCAACAGAAAATAATTATAGAGTGAGTCACTTACAAAGAATTTACTGGTAGTAATTAAAAATTACTATAGTTGTATATCGCTTTCCCTTCTCTCTCTCTCATAAATAATTTGATCCAGTTTACTCTGCTCAATTAAAGGAATGATGCATGTAACCTGAAAAAAATAAAAAGGAAATCTTTGTGAGTTTATGTGTTATCTTTTAATATGAAACAGTTTTATTATACCAAAGTACTCCAAAATGTTTGAGCCTGAAAAAATCATAGCAGTTTTACCAGGAAAAATAACTCTTGCTGGAAAATGAGGAAAAATAGGATTGTTCCATTCATGAGATATGGGGACAATTCATTTTTTTTTCCTAGTGGATTTTCAAAACACATTTATAGTAAATATGTGCCATGTGCATAATTCACAGTTATGTTGAACCTGACCCAAGCTTGTTAAAAAAATAATCAGACAGAAAAAAGTACAAGATGTCCCCCATTTCCCACACTACACTTAGATGATTATCACTTAAAATCTTATTCTAAAATATGAAAGAGCTATTACACAATTATCATAGCATGTAGTATTTAATATTTTTGATGATGCCTTATTTTCTTCCCATCTTTTATTTCTTGAGAAAGAAATGCAAGAAAGGAATTGTCTTCTAAATCTCGAGCAGTGAAATTAAGCCAAAGCTACTCCAGTAAACTGGGTATCCTGAAACCAGACGGTCCAAAATAAAAATTTAATTATTTGGCTTCATTTACTTCATTATCTCTATTTATTACAACTGATGAGAGAATAATAAAAGTCCTTTGATAAAGGGCTAAGTATTTGTATCTACCTGTAGGACACCAAAGTAACAAGGGTTCTGATCTTAACAGGAATTTCCTGTCTGAGGTTAGAGCCTGACCGTCTAGTTATTTTAAGATAGGATTTCTAAGTGATGATCTTGTTATTATTTGGACATTATTATGATGGGAAGTTATTATCCTGACATAAGAGCAAAAAGCTGATTTTAGGGAGTCATTAAGAGCTTGCTTGGGCTTTCCATAAGCATGGACATTTGTGGGTGAAAGACATTTTAAAAACTACCAAGTTGTAGTTTCTTTTCATTTCCCACAACAGCCCAAAACTTCAGCAAGAGAAAAAAAAATTCTTTCACTAGTATTTTTTATGCCTAAACTTTCTCTTTCCCACAGAGTGAAATACTTGGGTGGTCTGTAGGCAAGAGGTGGGGGAGACAGTATATTTTGGTCTTTAAAAAACATAAACATATTATCTAAGCCAAAAGCTCAAATGGCAAGCAGGAAGAATATTAAGCCTATTGACTAATTGCAGGAAAGTGATCAGTGCGAAACGCTGTCCCAGTATAAACAAACGTTCTTTGAATTTGAGATATGTGGCTTAAAAAATAATTTGAAATTTTAAGTAGACTGTAGAGTGATGGCCTTGAAGCTCCAGGTCAGAATTTCTCTTAGTTGGTCAAAAAAGTTCTTTTGACCCAGGACCTAGTCTAACTTAATCAGTCATTCACCCTCTGAAATGTAAAATAACAACATCATTTCTATCCGAGTGCAGTTTGGACAGACTCCACAAAATGTTTTCTCATCATGAACACGTACGACGTTTTCATTTTAGTACTTGGACTTACCATCACTCCAGGAGCAATTTTAGTTTAAGAAGTTCGCTGTTGGTTAGTTTCCTCTGGATACATTCCACAATTCCTAAAATATTTGTATATCTCCTTCTAAAGTAATATTAAAATAAAATTATACATTATTCTAAGTTTCTTGGAAGTAGATATCGCTGTTTCTTTATGATACTGTGTATTTATGGTGGTATAGTACCAACGTATACACTAATCCATTCAGTAGAGGTTTATAAAAAGACCTTTTCTTTTCTCTTAATTTAACTCATACTTAAAATCAAGTATGTTGTTCCTCATTTCTTTAAAGCTTGCCTTGAAAATGGGTTGTTAGAATGCCACCACACATAGGCAGAGACTGTTGGGTTTACAAAGTAATGCTTATTATTTCTACTCTTGGACGTACGCCAGACTCACCCTTAACTCCTTTCTATCTTCAGACTAAAAATCATCCCTTGGGAGAAAGTAGGTCAGGAACCTGTAGAGGTTAGTCTCTTTGAAACAAAAAGGCTATTTAATAGGAGAAGAGAATTTAAAAATTAAATATGCATTAAATGAAAGTAAGTCATAAAATTCAGACATTTCTAGAGTAAAAAATAATTCTCAAAATTTGAGAAATCGTAAACATTGTATTAGTGCTTTTAGTAATTGTTATCAGTTAGTAAAAATGTTTCCTGAAACAAATTAAACTTCTATAAGTTAACTCAGTGTTTTTTAGTTTTTCTATGTAAAAGAAACTATGTAAGTTTTGAAATCTCAGTTGGTCTTTCAAAAAACAGTAGAGAATTCTCTCTCAGTAGAAAATAAAAGGATGCCTATCCTATTTTATCTAAGTATAAAATAGCTAAGTGTCTGCTTGCTATTTATATTTTAGCTAATCACCATAATACACCAGAAACCTTTTATGTCCATTACACCAGTTTTAGTATGATATGAAATATAATTTTTAAAATAAATTGTTTTGATGAAAAAGAAATTAGGGAATTCCACTGCAAAAAAATATTTTACAAAAGAGAACTTGTGTTCATTCTTGAATTGTTGCAGAATGGATAACTTAGAAAAGGATTTGTATTTAGAGGTGGACAAAAGAAACTATATTCATTTTCCAGAAAAAGCAGGTATAGAATTGTTTAGGGAGAGAAACAAATTGAAAGTTGAGTTTATGGGTACGGCAGGAACATTTTTTCCAGAACTTTCTTTGAGGGACCTACCTCTGAAGTTCAATACATCACCCGACTCACATGGCAACCCAGGCTCCATTATTTTTCTTTATCAGGGTTCCATTCAGCTTGAGGGTTTCTTCCTTCCCACCTCCTCCCCTCCCCCACTCTTTCACCTCCAGGACAGCTGGAAACTGACCAAGGAAAACTTTTGCCTTCGTTTACAAATTCCTTTTTTATCAGTGGGTTTCTAGACAAAGTACCTTATCATTTTAAAGCCTGGGACAAGTAAAAGCCTTGTAAAATACCGCTACAGGCCCCAGCTGATGAGCAAGTATCAACCATCCTTGGATTTTAAAAGAATAAATCCAGTGCCTATAGTTAGATATCTAAAGCTAGAAGTTTCTATTCCTGGGCTGTTCAGTTGCTGACTCAGTAAATTGTGGGTTGGCACTCTTCGCTTGCCAAGGTCCCATCCGCACTGTCTAGTGGCAAAGCTTGGAAGGCTCCTTTTTTATGGTTGGTACTATTCTTCCTGGTGTTTATATTATATTCGCAATTATTTAGACAAGCTCTTTGTTCATATGAAATTTTGAAGAGTGCAAGTATTTTTTTTTTTTTTTAACTTTAGGGCAAAATGCATTCAGTTACAGCATAGCGCTCATTCATAGCCCTATTTAAGGCTGTGACTTATCAATTTCAGCCATTCAAAACTAAGTCTCATTCAGTTATTCTTAGGTGTCTGGAGTGCGGTTTTTCATATTTCATTTTAAAGTAGAAGGCCTTTAAATTTAAGACATTTGAATTATCAATATTTAAAAATTAAAAAAAAAAATACCAGCACATCACCCTTTACCACACAACCTTCCTTGCTCTTAGAAGCTAAACGTCAGTATCCATCACACATCCAGCCCAGTTTCTCTCCCATGCTCACACAGATGATGGGATTTCCTACCTAGTCCCTCCAGTCACAGACCCAGGTGAGCGGTCACAGAGGCCTTACCCGCTGGTCTTCCCTTCCAGCAGTTCTTTCCCAGAGGAGTCCCCGGGGGCTTCTTGGTCCCTAGTGTACAAACCTGTGAAGGAAAAACACTGGATATGAGATTCAACAAAGGAGCAACCAACGGTCTTCTTGAAACAGCACATTTTGTCCCCAGCAGTCCATGGCGTTGCTGGCCCTTGCCCAGTCTAACCAATGTGCAGACTACTGTACAACGGCATTGTCCTGAACAGGTAGTCTGAACACTGGGGCGACGGAGCAGGATCTCCGGGAGCTTCCATCTGTGCACTGAAAATCCTGTCCCGGTGGGTGCAGGGGAAGAGCCTGTCTTCCTGCACCAGGGGCTGATTCGACTTCCCCCCTGAAATCTGTCTGCTGCATTGACTGAGACACTCTGAAGGGCTGTGATTTCCAGTCTTGACGTGGCACTTTTGCTGCAGACTAGGGAACTGGCAATGAATTTAGGACCAGGAAAAGGGGGAGGGCTGGGCTGGAGAGTCCATATATGGGATGATGTCACCCTGGGGAGGTTTGGGTATGCGCTGTGCCGCTGGAGAGCCCGCTAGAATCGCCTGCTCTCAGACATGGGTCTGTGCATAAAATGGTACCAGATGTTTTCATGTAATGTTAAGCAGTCATTTCATCTTCAGGCCAGATTTTTTTCTTCAACTGGGCAGGAAGTGGGCCCCAGTATGGAAAAGCTGTAAAAAGGAAAGAAAGAAAGAAAAAAAAAAGTCAAGATGTACAGTTCTGCTGTGGTCAACTGAAAGTGAGCTAAAAGAAGTACAAATTCTCTGTCTGATCCTGGCTGGAGAAGTAATTTTCAGATAGAGGGGAGATAAAATAGTAGTAAACAGAAAGTTGAACACTGTCAGACAGAGAGCATTTGAAAGCCTCTGCCTCTCTCTCTCTCTCGTGGTGAGTTCGAAAAACCTTCAATAGAGAACCCAACACTATTGTGCTCCCCTTTCCCCTCCATAGCCTCTAGCCATTATTGCCTCCTCCCCCTCCTCCTCCTCTTCTGCCTCCTCCTCCACCTTTACCTCCTCCAGCCCCTCCACCTCCTCCACCTCCTTCACCTCTCCACCTCCTCCTCAGTCTGCTGGACCTGTCAGCAGCTTGCAGGCTGCTCTAGACTTGAGCAGTAATTATAGCAACTTCCTGAAAGTGAAGCCCCCATGAAAAGTCTGGAGAAATGCTCTTTGTCATGGTCTCTCCATGAGTAATTAGTTCCACATGTGGCCTTCCTAGTCTCCTTCAGCTATTTGGGCTGGCTCTCTGAATGTCCTGCTGTATAGCTTTACCTAAAGAAACGTGAAAGTTTTGATTTCAAGCATCTGCAGTGCCCTGCTAGTTCTGTTGTAAAGAACCTACCTCTGATCATTCCTTGCTGTTAAGTAAAGCATTGTTTTTTCCTTTGGTAATTCCTGACTCTATTTCAGTGCTTTTGTTTTGTTTGCATAATGTTCTGCTGCTGAGTTTTATCTCTGGCTAAGTAATCTGTTGAAATTTGCCAAGCACCGCTTGACCAAAGGTTACAAGATATCAGCTCACTGGCATCTACTTCTTTCCCGGGTATTAATTGCTCTCAATTATATATACTGTTGGATATTATGAATACAAAGTTTTCTGACATAATCTCTATAGACTTCTGATTAATATTAGATTTGCCTCAAAGAAGAGTTTGATCAATTGATCTTCTAGAAGTCACAATGTAGGGACATTTTCAAGGTAGCTTCCAAATTTAATTTAACTAACCAGATCATGAAATGTAGTATTGCTTAAACAATTATAGCCAAAGCAATTCATTTGCACCAGCCTTCTGCAGCACTTTTTAGAAGGAGGAAAAATAAGGCCTCTTTTTATAGATGTTGGGTTGAATGTTTCAAAAACTGCTTCAAGTGAAAACTGCTTTAGAGTATTCATTTTATATGGCATGATTACTCTTAAGTTGAGTAAGAGCTCAAAACACATTATGAGCTCTGGTTACCTTGTGAGGAAGGTTAAATAAGAATGTATTTTATAGAGGCTTATGTTGGAGCAAAGAGGTTAATATCAGGTGGGTACCTCAGACAAAGAAAGGATTAAAAGCCAATGCAGATGATTGGAATTGCTTCCTATCAGTGTACTATTGCTTGCATACTTCTGTCTTTAGGTCCTATTAGAGAGAGAGAGAGAGAGAGAGAGAGAGAGAGAGACAGAGAGAGAGAGACAGAGACAGACAGAGAGACAGACAGAGAGACAGACAGAGAGACAGAGAGAGGAGAGAGAGCACTTGTGAAAGCTCAGTATGACTTGTCTTCCTTTATCCCCCATCCCTGCTTGAGTATTTCCTATAAATAATGGAAGAGTGACTAAATGTGATCTAATTGTCTTATTACACAAGGACCCCAGCTCTATTCCCTTCCATTCTGTAAGATTATTCACATTAAGTCTTACAGGGGAGGCCCAAGCCAGTGAGGGTTGGTCCACTGTGAATCCAGCATCCAGGTGTAGGCCTGTTTCAGTTCCACATAATGAATGTCTTTCTTCTGCACACTTCTGTTTCTATCGATGAAACGTGCCTTGGAAATTTCCGTGAAGGCAAATGAAAAGTGGCTCTGATTAGACTCCTCTATCATTTCAGCTTGATTTACACAGCAAGACCCTCTCAAATGATTCTGCTTGTACTAAAGACTTGATAATGTTTTTGTCAAGGGGCTTCAATTTATACTTTTCTTTGAGGCATTTTAAAGCATTTAAGTGATTTTCTCCAGAAATTCTTGTAAAGGTTTTATTCCCCCTCTCCTTAGGCTTCTAGTTGACCAGGTGCTTTAGAGTTATCCTTCCTCCAAACAGTTCACGGAGCGTTTGCTCTTGACTACTTGTGTGCTAGGCCCAACACGAAAGGCTAAGCCTGTAAAGAGAAAGCAGCTCTTGTGTGCTGCCCTCGCTCACCCTCACTTCTGCTAGGAATGTTAGTAGTCTGTGATCTAGTACAGTCAGAGAAGTCAGTCATGCCATTGTGGAAAGTCGTTGGCCTTGATTTGGAATTGGCTTGAGGACATTTTTATGTCTGTAAAATTACCAGTTGAATACCTGAAATGTATGGGGCCCCTACATGGCAAGGTGAGCTATTTATACTGGCATTCTGTAGGGCCTTTTAGAACCAAAATTATCTAACTTGCTCACTTCAAAAGCTATTTATCAGAGTGATTGGTTGCCTCAGTAAGCACTGTGAAATTGTCACTGTTTTAAAATGTTGTGGAAAGGAAACATCCTTTCAATTGGTTCTCATTACCAAGCTGGGCTGATTTTTATGACTTTAGAAATTCTTAATTGGAAGCAGGACTGAGACTTGCATCCCTGTACCTGTAACAGCAGTTACTACTGTTCATGATTATTTTGTGATATCCAGATATACAAATTTCAACTTATATTTATATAATTTTAATTTATTTTGTTATAAGTTAGTGTATAGGTTAGCAAATGTTAGCTCTATTGTCTTCTTTTTCTTTCTTTTTTTTTTTTCATTCCAGTACTAGGGATTGAACCTACAGCCTCATGCATGTGAGGCAAGTGCTCTACCACTAATCTCCAGCCTGAACTCAATAAAAATCAGTTCTAATAGACACATGTGAAGAGAAATCCATCATCACTCCTTCACACCTCACCCTTTCTGCCTTCCCATGTTAATAGTGTGGTTCACTACTTTTCAATGGTCATTTTATAGCTTCTTACAGATTACAAATCCTTTCACATACAATGTACTAATTCCTTATAACAGCCTTATCGTGTGGATATTATTGTTTTATTGGTGATTAAATCAAGACTCAGATAAGCAGATTATATTTTAATCACAGTAAGTAGCACAACAGAAGTCAGAAGTCGGATTTGTTTTCCCATTTCATAAAAATATCATAAGCCGGGCATGGTAGCCCATGCCTTTAATCCCAGCATTAAAGAGGTAGAGGCAGGCGGATCTCTATGAGATCAAGGCCAGCCTAGTCTCCATAGAGAGTTCCAGGCCAGCTGTAGCTGCAGGGAGACTGTCTCAAAAAAACAAACAAAAAACCGAATCAAAATAAAGCATATATCATCAGTCTAGTGAGACAGGGTTTCCCTGCTGATTTTTTATAACATTTCTATTCCTTGCTATTAAAATGTCAATTGTCTGCCGCTCTGCTCATAGATTTTTTTTACTGAACTATTACCCGAACTATTTACTGTTTCACATTATTGGAAGTCCCCTTTCTCCTTCAAGATAGAATATAAGCTGGTTGAAGGTAAGGACATAGGGACATCATTTTTATTTTGTGTCTGACCGGCCCCCTGCTAGGCTCTTCAGCAAAATGTTGGGATAGTGAGCAGAAGCGATGCAGTGTGCACATGATTTCAGATCAAACCTTTGAGAGCAAAAGCTCTGTAGAGGGAACAGTGCAATTCCAACATTCATATAAGTACATTGCAGCTATGTAACAGCCCGTACTGTTCATTTTGGAATATATGTGTACATAGGGATAGCCATGCTTCCTTGTTTGTTTTGGAGTTCTAATCTGGAAGCATTCTGTGTAGTCATCTTGTGTTGAAAGCAGGTTCTAACCAAACTGTGGTGTTTCCTTCACTGTTTTCTCCTTCCAAGTCATAGCTGAGATAAAAATCGAGTTGACTCCTGCTCATTGCAAATTGTTGAAGATGGCCCCACTTAGCCTGACTTGGCATTGTGCAGATTAGCGCTTTTTTTGTTGAAGAGTCTGCAGTTCTCTAATCTCCATTATTTCCTGTTCTGTTAGAGCCTAGTTTTTTTCTTGTAGGAAAGCTCTTTACTTTTCTTCCTTTGTATGACTCCCAAAACAAATGGCTGCCTGCTAATCATTGTGCCCAGGTGCCTTCCCAGAAGAACCAACCAGTCTCTAAGAAAGTGCAGAAATATTCAGGGGGAATTGGATTTTCCTTTGGCGACTGAAAAAGAAGTGAAATTAAAACTGCTATACATCATAAACTTAATGCAACTTGCTTTACGGTCCTTGAAAAGCTTATAAAAGGCAAAGATTGTGAGTTGATTTGAAAACATAGAGTCATGAATGCATGTTTTGTTTAGCCTGTTTCTAGAATTTCCATTGCTAGGTTTGTTTATTTAGAAATCAGCCCCTAACAAAAAGCAGTATATATTTTATGAACATTCTTTCCTCAAATCAATTGAGAAAGCTAATGTTACATCTTTGAGCTCTACTAACCACTGACATGCACAGCAGCCATTTCTATGTTGCAGTAACTCAATACATCCGGCAGGCAAGCCTGAAAGAGTGGCTCTCTGGAATACCAGTCACGTGAAGGTAAATATATGATTTAAAACTGCAGTAAATGCAAAGTGCTGCTTGAAAGCCTGTTGCTGGACTTTTCAGGCAGATTTTAAATGAGAGCATACCAGGACTACAGTCTGGGCCCTGCTTTAAG